TATTCATTATGTACATTTTGCCCTGTTTTTGCTTTTTTCGCATCTATTTTTGGACACTTATTATCTCTATTTTTAATTTTTTTGTCATTTTCAGCTGTATTTTAGCCTTTTTTATATATATTTGGTAAATTTAGCCCTGTTTTTGCTTTTTTTGGGTGTTTAGGTTGTCGAAAAAATTTGAGGGCCACGTGTCCTCGTTTTAGCTCTCTTTGTGCTTTTTTCTGTCATTTATTTATTGTTTCTAACATTTTTTAGTCACACGATTCAGTAAATTCAGACAAATAATCTTGTTTATTTGCTTCCTGTCGTTTCTCCTTTAATCCACATTTCCCTCTGAGCTCCGTGTTGGATGGATGAATTATTAATCAGTGTAATTCAATCATCTCAGGCTGGTGGTTTTAAAGTCCCTCCAGTGTTCATCAGAGTTCTTCAAATCAGAGCAAACAGACAGCTGGTAAACACGAGCCCTAAAGAGCAGATCCGCCTCCGTTAGGAGCTCTGCTCCTCCAGATGTGGGCCTCCAGAGGTGGGAACTTGTTCACACCTGGTTTAAAGCTGGTTCACACCTGGACAAAAGCTGGTTCACACCTGGACTAAACCTGGTTTAAAGCTGGTTCACACCTGGACAAAAGCTGGTTCACACCTGGACAAAAGCTGGTTCACACCTGGTTTAAAGCTGGTTCACACCTGGTTTAAAGCTGGTTCACACCTGGAAAAAAGCTGGTTCACACCTGGACAAAACCTGGTTTAAAGCTGGTTCACACCTGGACAAAACCTGGACAAAACCTCATTTAAAGATGGTTCACAGCTGGAAAAAAACTGGTTTAAAGCTGGTTCGCACCTGGACAAAACCTGGTTTAAAGCTGGTTCACACCTGGTTCAAAGCTGGTTCATGTTGATTTACACCTGGTCGAGAACTGGTTCAAATCAGGTTTAAAGCTGGTTCACACCTGGATAAAACCTGGTTTAAAGCTTGTTTAAAGATGGTTCACACCTGGACAACACCTGGTTTAAAGCTGTTATTATTATTATAGTGTATTATGTCATTATATCATTATCATAATATAATAATATATATATTTTATATTATGTCATGTCATATTGTATCATATTATATAATATATATTTTTTATTAAATAATGCCAAGATATTGAATAACTTTGCATTAATTCCATTAAGGTTTTTATTTGTCTACTTAAAAAAAAAAGCTTACAATAAACTGTGAAATTTAACAGAATCAAGCTGCTGTAATAATCATATTAAGATATTTTGTCTCTCAGTTAATTGAAATGTTAATACTTAATAGTTTGACAAATGAATGAGAAGTAAAAGGAGTCTGTTTCAATCAGTAGATTTTTCCAGTAAAAACAACATTTTTTTCACAGAAAAAGAAGAAAACTTGCGTCTTTGTCATTTTTAATAGAGACACCATTAAAAACAGCCGTTCTGCCTTGTTTTAATTTGTCACTGAACTAATTACTGTCCACATGACCCAGTAATTAATTCAGGCCTCCAACAGCTGGAGCTTAATTGACATGCAGATCTGAGCTGAAACGGCCGATTAGAGAGCAGACGTATGAAACGTTGCATTAAATAAAGCCCGCGTCACATCTAATGACTCAGTCAAATGTGATTAATCAGATCCCAGGCCAGAGGAAAGAGGAAAGAGGCTGGATACTACGGAGGAATGGATTAATGTCCACCTCCATGAATGAATGAATAAATAGAGCAATGTTTAAATGAATGAATGAATGCATGAATTAATAAATAGATCATTGTCTAAAGGACTTAATTAATTAACATCCAACAATATGAATATATGTATGAAAGTAAGTTAAACTATGTGAGTGAGTGAGTCAGTGAGTGAGTGAATAAATTAGTGAATAAATGAGTGAAAATCCACATACATGAATGAATTAATAAATGAATGAATTAATAGATAGATCCATGTCTAAATGAATTAATTAACATCCAACCATATGAATATATGTAAGAAAGTTAAACTATATGAGTGAGTGAGTGAGTGAGTGAGTGAGTGAGTGAGTGAGTGAGTGAGTGAGTGAGTGAGTGAGTGAGTGAGTGAGTGAGTGAGTGAGTGAAAATCCAAATACATGAATGGATAAACAAACAATTGAAAGAATAAAAATAAATAAGTAGTGAAAACCAACATGGATTAATGAACAAAAACTCGACCATCTTTCACATGAATGAATGAACGAATGAACATCCTAATAAACAAATTCATGAAAAGGACAGGATAGGATAGTTGTGTGTATCTGTGTGTTTGTGTATGTGTGTGTGTGTGTGTGTCTGTGTGAAAACATTTTCATGAATTTATAATCCCCCTCCGGATTAAAAAAGTGGACTTGTCCGGGCTAAAGAGGAACTTTGTCCCCCTTACCTGCACTTTGTTTTGGGAGAGTGAGAACCTAAAGGGGAAAACCCCCCAAAACTCACCTGTAAAAACTCCTTACACCTGGAATCCAACCTTTTGCTCGTTGTTTTCCTTAAACGTGGAACCACCATGAGAGTGCCCCCCCCCCCCCCCTGTCCCAAAGGTGGCCTCCCCCTCCTCCTCCTGCTGAAGCGTCCCCTATACATCCTCCCTGTCTTTCTCTTTTCTGCTGCCAAGTGTTTCCATTTCTGCTGGCCAGCTGGAGTGGGGTCTCCTGCTGCCCACCGCTCACTTCCTCCTCTCTGCCCCCTCCACAGCACCTGTTCCTGTTTGGCAAAGCCGGGAAAGCTTCCTGGAAGCTTGGAGACCAGCCATCTGTGCCAGGACTGGGAACTGGAGGCAGGACTCAGGCGCAGAGAGGTGGTACAGAAAGGTTTTATTCAACCAAAAACGCACTCAAAAGGAGAGAAAGTTCAAACAAGGCAGACAAAGCTGTGGACAAAGTATCAAATAGCATAAACAAGACTATGAACAAAGCATTAAATCAAAATCTCTCTTACGAGGCAAAAACAAGATTATGAGTAAAGTCTCAAAATAACATAAACTATGAACAAAGTATGAAATAACGTAAATAAGACTATGTACAAAGTATCAAATAACATAAGACTATGAACAAAGTGTCAAATAACATAAACGAGACTATGAACAAAGTATGAAATAACGTAAATAAGACTATGAACAAAGTATGAAATAACGTAAATAAGACTATGTACAAAGTGTCAAATAACATAAACGAGACTATGAACAAAGTATGAAATAACGTAAATAAGACTATGTACAAAGTATCAAATAACATAAACAACAAAATGAACAAAGTATCAAATAACATACGACTATGAACAAAGTTTCAAATAACATAAACGAGACTATGAACAAAGTATGAAATTACGTAAATAAGACTATGAACAAAGTATGAAATAATGTAAATAAGACTATGAACAAAGTATCAAACAACAGAAACAAAACTATGAACAAAGTTTCAAATAACATAAACAAGACTATGAACCAAGTATCAAATAAAGTAAAGACAATGAAAAAAGTATCAAAATAACATAAACAAGACTATGAACAAAGTATCAAATAACAGAAACAAGAAAATGAACAAAGTATCAAAATAACATAAACAAGACAACAAATGATCAAATAACAAAAGTATAAAATAACATAAACAAGACTGGACAAAGTAACAAAATAACTTAAAAACAGACTATGAACAAAGTATTAAATCAAAATCACTCGAGAACAAGGACAAAAAGGGCTAGGCACAAATTCTAAATTTCTAAATGGTTTTGCCTCCTTTGAAAATAACTAAGAACCTCCTCAACCACGTCAAAGACAGCTGAACAGATTCATTACTTTTATCGTTAAATACTTCAACAAAAGGTTCTCCTTTCTCTTTGAAACACACGAAGGATGGAGCAAAAACTGGAATGGACCGGCTGGAAAATCCCCAAAGCTCCACTCAGGTTCAGTCTCTCTCAAAGTTATTTCTGATGTTGCAAGCATTTTTCAGCCCACTCTGGGCCCATTTCCAAATGATTTTACCTCCTTTGAAACCAACTCAGAACCTCCTCAACCACTTCAGAGACAGTTGAACAGATTCCTGACTTTTATCTTTAAATACTTCTGCAACGGTTTACTCATCAATGTGTAAGACATCATTATTAGAGCTGCTAATGACTCTGAAAGATGCAGAAATCATTTCAGTTTCATGCCTAATATGGTTCTTAATACACCTGTAAATACGCATGAATATAGAAAAGACACAGAGAGCTGAGTAACACCACTTAAATCAACTCTAAAATACGTTAAAATGTGGGCAGTTCAAGTGATTTGGAGAAGATATTGAATTGCAATGCTCATCGTGAGACATTTTGATGTCAGAATGACTGTCATAATACCAATTATATCAAAATAAAAATCAATTATAATGGTGTCAACACACTTAGGTGACTAAACGCTGATATTGAATCATCAGCAGGAGGCCACATGCAGTAACATAATACCGGAGATAATAATAATTATAAACTCTGTGTGACTTAAAACTCACAAATGCAGAATTTCCCAATTTATAGTGAATCAGTGTCCTTACAATAAAGCTTAGAAATCCTCATAGTGTCATGATTTGACCTTTAATGTTCCTCACGAGCCTTAAAACCCCCACACATCAGTCAGAGTGGTTTAAAATCTAAGAAAGGTTTATTTACTGATTAAACCAAGGTTTAAAAAATAATAATAATAATACTAATAACATTTTTTTATTTTAGAAGGCGCCTTTCATTCCACTTAAGGGCACTTTACAAAGACGATCATCATTAAAACAACATTGAAACATAAAAAAACATACAAAGTCATAAATACATCATAAATAAAAACATCACAAATCAATTAAATCAATTCAAATGTGCTCAATCTTTCATGAATTAAAGACGTAGTACGCTACATCTACCAAAACTGGTTAACGGAACGATTAAATGTGTCAGGGACTACAAATCCCAGAGGGAATACCTCTGCGCATGCTCAAAAGGGTATGGTGCGCGAGCTCATGCGGATATACCGTTTCGTAAAATGGCGGCTTGAGGAGGCTCGTTCAAAATACTCAGCAACCGCTCTGTTTAAGGTGCCTAGTCCACATTTCCGGACGGTTTTCGTTACCTGGATAAGCAAGACAGTTGTTAAGAGGTAGGCGACGGAACAAACATTAAAAGGTTAGTCACGGTTAAATTTTGATAAAATAATGCCTAGGACGTAGCGGGAAGCTAGTTATAGTTAGCCTTAATCATGACGTTAGCTGCTAACGGCTAAGACACGGCCCGGTTAGCTTTGTGGTGATGGACCGGTTGTTAGCTACCCGGGTGTTTGACACCGGAATAAGGTTTTAATAACTTGTACAGTCAAAATGTGAACGGTTTTAGTCAATAAATCATAGTAAATGAAAGGTTTGGGTTAGACTACCCTCTGTGGTACGTGATTTTAATTGTTTTCATCAATAGAAGAATGAATAAATTAAGCTAAGCTAGGAAATGCTAACTATCGACCCGTTACACTACAAAGATTCACAATGAGCACTTCATCACCTTTTTACCTCTTGCATTTCGTGAAATCAATCAAAACTTTCCAATTCCTGTTTTATAAATATAGAACAGCTGGAGCACGTTTTTTTCATGCAAAATTGTTTATTTTATTGGCTGAAATGATATGAAATCCCATTTTCTTGAGTTTCACACGTGAGAATCGCGTTCGTGCGTGAAAACTATGAAATCGATGCTGGTCCAATCCTATCCAACATTTATCCACTTTAAGAAAATATTAAAAAAGGATAATTTCAGTGATAAACTGTTAAGTAGATGTGGGAGAACAGGTTGAACTCTGTTTCCAGATTTTTTAAATCCTGCATCAGTTATTAAAAGATGCAGCAAAATATGTGTAATGTAGTCTTTTCTTGGGTTTTTCTTTTAGGAAGTGAAATTTAGTTAATTGGTTAAAGGTGCAAACACTGAGGCTTTTATAGGCTTGGTCTTTTGAATGTGTTTTGTGTGTCTGTAACATGGCACAAGCATTAAGAAAGTGAGTTCAATGTGAAACTAGGAGGAAAATCACGGTTTACAGTAAGAACGCAGTTAAAATGAAAAACTGAATCAGCTTCATAATAATAAAACAAATACACGTGTAACAACTGTTAATAGGGGGGATTAATACCTCTAAAGATAACCAGAATAACATTTAAACTGGTCTTGAAATCCTACATTTTGGGTCAAGTCTTTACTATTAAATGGACAATTGAATTCCTTTCGTCTTTGACTGACATCGTATTTACAGTTTTGACCTTTTTGGTATTTATTAACCTCTTTAAAGGTGGTTCAGGTCTGCCCTGCTTTCCTTTTAATCAGGTGGCTTGTGGATAGGACATCAGGTCAGTTTGGTGTGTACATATTTCTTTACCCAGGCTGTAAATACCAGGGAGCATGTGTTTTAAGGTTCATCCTCAGAGGCTAAATGTTCGTGTGAACGTCCACCTGATACCCACACACAGCCAGATTTGTGTAAACGCGTCTCGGGTGGCTCTGGTAAGCTAACCGGGGCTGGTTTGGGTTTCAGAGCCAGTGGGATGGCGAAGAGGATTGCCGATAAAGAGCTAACGGACAGGAACTGGGATCAGGAGGAGGAAGGGGAGGAGGTGAGTCCCTGGGAAGTGGCCGGAGGCCGAGCTTTGACCGGTGAGTTTGACCGGCTGTTTGTTTGACCTGCTGCTCTTCTCCAGGCCGGGACCTTTTTGGTTGCCAGTGAAGATGTGCTGAAGAGTCGAGCCATTAAGAAGGCCAAACGCAGAAACACTGGAGGAGAGGTAGGACCCCCCCACAGACTCTAACTAGGGTTGTCAAAAGTATCGATACTCAAAAAAGCATCAATACTTAAACATTGTATCCGGATACGATACTCATTTTTAAACGGATCAATACCACCCCCCACCTCATCTCTGATTTATTTATTTACGTTGTTTGTGATCATTAACGTGACGTTAGCATTTATTTTCTATCTGCGGCTAATCAGAATCAGAAAATAGTTTTACTAGCTCCCTAAATAAAACAACAGTATATATATATATAAAATAAAATAAGTGGTAGTGATAATAATGTAAACAATTTAGAGTTAGGGTTAGGATTCGGGAGGAGGGTTAGGAAGGAGGGTTAGGTTTAGGGTTAAGAAAGAGGGTTAGGTTTTTATAGTCAGGTTTAGGGTTGGGGAGAAGGGTTAGGTTTAGGGTTAGGGTCATTAATGTGGCTCACCATAACATCAGTAACAGGTCAGTTTGAAACCAAAGACACTAACCTGTCAAAACTCAGTTACATTTTGTGGTCTTTGTTTTTAACCTTGTGGTATCCAAAATGGTATCGAGTATCAAATATTTTCCAGAGTATCGGTATGGAGTTGAAAACTTTGGTGACAACCGTACCTCTTTAATTTCCTGAGGGAGTCTTCCCAAGGGATCAATAAAGTACAAGTCTAAGAAAGAACGTTTTCACAAATAGTGGATGTTAAATAGGTTTGTACAATAAGTCCAAACAAGTTTAACCAAAAAATATTTATTTCTCACAATTATGAAGGTTGGAGGGTTACGGTTAGGGTTAAGTTTAGGGGTTAGAGTTAGGGTTTAGGGTCAGGCTTAGGGTCAGGCTTAGGGTCAGGTTTAGGGTCAGGGTTAGTAACAGGTAGCTTGAAACCAAAGACACTAACCTGTCAAAACTCAGTTACATTTTGGGGTCTTTGTTTTTATCCTTGTGGTATCGAAAACGGTATCGAGTATAGATTATTTTCCAGAGTATCGGTATGGAGTTGAAAACTTAAGTATCGTGACAACCGTACCTCTTTAATTTCCTAAGGGAATCTTCCCAAGGAATCAATAAAGTATAAGTCTAAGTCTAACTGAAGAACGTTTTTACAAATAGTGGATGTTAAATAGGTTTGTACAATAAGTCCAAACAAGTTGAACCAAAAAATATTTATTTCTCACAATTATGAAGGTTGGAGGGTTAGGGTCAGGGTTAGTAACGGATAGTTCGAAACCAAAGACACTAACCTGTCGAAATTCAGTTACATTTTGGGGTCTTTGTTTATATCCATGTGGTATCCAAAATGGAATTGAATATTTTCCAGAGTATTCGTATCGAGTTGAAAACTTTAGTATCGTGACAACCCTACCTCTTAATTTCCTAAGGGAATCTTCCCAAGGGATCAATAAAGTCTTAACTCTAGTCTAAGTCTAACTGAAGAACGTTTTTACATGTGTGACGCCTCTTTATGTCCCTCTCATTTTAGGGAGAGAGTGGAGCCGCTTTTAAAGGCTTCAAAGGCTTCTCCCTGACGACGGCGGCGCCCGTGGCAACGCCGGCCTCGACTCCCGCCCCCTTCCCAGGCTTTTCCAACAGTGGAGGGTTTAAAGGTTTCGGCTCCCTGACCAACGGGGACAGCTCCACTCCCTCTTTTGGGAGTTTCTCTTCTCCAACGTCTTCCTCTGCTGCTTCTGGTGAGTGAAGAAAAAAACGTCTTACTTCCTGTTCCATCACAGGCCGAGAGCAGGTTTTCATCACCTCCTGTTTGAGTTGTGGAGCAAACAGTGTTAGGGCACACAGTTTTATTAAAGAGAATAAGTGGAAGAAGCAGCAAAACAATGAAAAATAAGTAGAAAAAGCAGCAAAACAATGTAAAATAAGTAGAAGAGCAGTGAACACAACCAGAAATAAGTAAAAGAAGCAGCTAAACGACCAAAAATAATTGGAAGAAGGAAAACACTTAAAAAGAAGCAGGAAAACAACAGAAATAAGTGGAAAAGGCAGCAAAACAATGAAAAATAAGTAGAAAAAGCAGAAAAACAACCAGAAAAAAGTGGAAAAAGCCGCAAAACAATTAACGATAAACAGGAAAACAACCAGAAATAAGTGGAAAAAGCTGCAAAACAACCAAAAATAAGTAAAAGAAGAAGTAAAAAAATGAAAGAAACAGCAAAACAATGAAAAATAAGTTGGAAGAAGTAGGAAAACCACGCAAAATAAGTAAAAGAAGCAGAAAAACAATGGAAAAATATTTAGTAAAAGCAGAAAAACAACCAAAAATCAATAGAAGCAGAAAAACAATGGAAAAATAATTAGAAAAAGCAGAAAAACAACCAAAAATCAATAGAAGCAGAAAAACAATGGAAAAATAATTAGAAAAAGCAGAAAAACAACCAAAAACAAGTAAAAGAAGCAACAAAACAATGAAAAACAAACTGAAAAAGCAGCAGAACAACCAAAAGTAAGTGGAAAAAGAAACTAAACTTACCTTTCTCTTATCCTCTCAGGTCTGATGTTCAACGGGCCGTCCTCCACGAAGCCCGGCGCCTCCGGCTCCTCCCCCTCCGGCCCCGCCGTTGCCATGGCGCCCGTCTCCGGGCAGACGAATGGCTCCGCCCCCCTCCCTTCCCCGGCCCCCGGCGGCCATCGGGAGTACAGCCGCCAGCTCACGGCCCTGAACTGCTCCGTCCGGGACTGGATCACCAAACACGTGAACGACAACCCCCTGTGCGACCTCAACCCCATCTTCCGCGACTACGAGCGTCACCTAGCAACCATCGAGCGCCAGTACGGCGCCGGGTCCCCTCTTCCTCCCCCCTCCTCTTCCTCCTCCGGGGGCCCGGCCCTGTTCTCCTTTAGTAAAAACCAGGACTCGGCCCCGAAAGCCCCCGGAGTCACGTTCAACTTCGGACAGAAGGTGGACAAATCCGCCCTCCCCTCCTTCCCCTCCTCTTCCTCCTCCTCTTCCTCCTCTTCCTCCTCTAGCCACGCCTCCCTGTTCGGCGCCCCGGGACCCGCGGCGCCGCTCGCCTTCGGTGGAGCGAAAACCGAAGTCGCACAGCCGGAAGGTGAGCGGATACTTTATCCAAAACAAAGGAGGATAACCAGAGGAGTTCATCTGTATGTAGATATCCTCAAATAGAAGGGAAGAGATGCTCTGGTTTGGTCAAATAAGGAGATAAAATATCAGTTTTCTGCTGGATCATAGTGTTTTATTCCTTTTAGATGAAGATTTCGTGTCCAAAAAGAGAGATTTCTGTCATTTAATTATCTTTAAAAAGTCTTTAGATTAAGAAAATCTGAGATCTGATGATTAAATGGTCAGTTTTCTGCTGGATCCTAGTCGGAAAAGGCGGTTTATTTCTTTTAAATTAAATTTAATGTCCAAAAAGAGATATATCTATAATTTAATTCTCTTTAAAAAGCCTTCAGATGAAGAAATTCTGAGATTTTATGCATTAAGATAATAAAATGATCAGTTTTCTGTTGGACCGTAGTGTTTTATTCCTTTTAAATGAAGATTTAGTGTCCAAAAAGAGATATTTATATTATTTAATTCCCTTTAGAGAGTCTTAAGTGACAGATTTGAGCCTTCAGATGAAGAAAATCTGAGAATTTATGCATTAAGATAATTAAATGATGAGTTTTCTCTTGGATCCTATTTGGAAAAAGCGTGTTTTTCTTTTTAGATGAAGATTTACTGTCCAAAAAGAGATATTTCTATCATTTAATTCTCTTTAAAAAGTCGTAGGCGCCAGATTTGAGCCTTCAGAAGAAGAAAATCTGATATTTTGTGCATAAAGATAATTATATGATCAGTTTTCTGCTGGATCCTATTTTGAAAAGGTGTTTTATTGCTTTTTAAATGAAGATTTAGTGTCCAAAAAGAGAGATTTCTATAATTAAATTCGCTTTATGGTCAATTTAAACCAAAGCAGAGAGTCTTGGGTGACAGATTTGAATCATTATCAGTTCAGACATTTGACTTCCTCGCCCTTTAAGCTGTTTAAAAAGTGAAACTAAACGTTGTTTTTCCCTTTTCCAGCAGATAAAAATGAAGACGAGGAGTCGGAGGAGCCGCCCAAACCGGAGGTGAAAGAAGTGAAGGAAGATGATGCTTTCTACTCCAAAAAGTAGGTCCAGAAACTTTGTTTTTCAGTTAGTTTAAACTCTGGTTCGTTGGTTTGTCTTAACTTTAGCTTCTCTGCCCTCATCAGGTGTAAAATGTTCTACAAAAAGGAGTCTGAGTTCAAAGATAAAGGCGTGGGAACCCTCCACCTGAAGAACACCTCCGAGGGGAAGACTCAGATGATCATCCGGGCTGACACAAACCTGGGTAAAACACTCTTTTTATTCTTTTTAAATTAAGATTTGTTGTCCAAAAAAACATTAAGATCATTAAATGATCAGTTTTCTGCTGGATCCTATTTGGAAAAAGCGCTTTATTCCTTTTAAATGAAGATTTAGAGTCCAAAAAGAGATATTTCTATAATTTAATTCTCTTTAGACATAAGACACATAAGACTTTTATGTGACAGATTTGAGCCTTCACATGAATAAATTACTGAGATCTGATGAATTAAGATCATTAAATGATCAGTTTTCTTCTATTGAAGGATAAAGCGGGTTTACAGTCAGCCAACAGGGGGCGCTGTGCCCCAATAAGGGGGCTCTTCAGGTCTGGGTTCCCTCAGAAGTAAAACACAGGTGGAGAGTCCACAGATGGTCGGATTCAGTGCATTTATATATTAAATATATTGTTTTATTCAGGAACATCTGTGAGCTTAGAGCTCTCCCTGCTGGTCATAAAGGGAACTGCACATCCAGGCAGCCCAGGGGGAGATAAAAAGCTGATTAATGACGGTTGTAAACACATCTGGACAACAGTAATAACCCTCTGTCTTTATGTTCGAGTAAATCCAGCTCAGAGAAATTGAAATTTAAACTGAAATTAAAGCAATTCGGTGCTAAACAGGACAAAAAAGGCATCAAAACACAATTAAAATGCGAAAACAGTGAAAACAAACAGCGTGGGAATAAAACCTACTATAAATCTTATTGGCAGACGCTCCAGTAAAACTTTGGTCAGCCATTTTTTAATAAATAAATCCATCAGAGGGTTTAGATCTAACAACTCTAGCCGTCTTTACCTCTTATTGAAATTAATAAAACGGGCTGTAAGTCCCTCCTAAGTCTTTAGACTTTTCTGCTTACTACATTTTACATGAATTAAACCCAGATCTGGAGGGTTTCTCATTTGGGGTGTAAATGTTGCTCTGAAAACAAAGAAGTCAATTCTTATACGAATTAAATTAGCTTTTTTTTTAAAAGTCCAATTTAAAATAATCCATTCCACTTTTCTCTGGTGTTCCCTAATATCTGGTCATTTTCCAGCACGCCCATTAGCATTAGCATTTGTAACCCACAGGTCTGTGTCCTAACCATTAAGTTGTTATCAGAGTAAATCCCTGTTCAACATGAGTCTGACAACTAAGTAAGTAGAATAAATAACTTTAATACATGCTCTGATAGGCCGGGATCGGATCGGAAGTGAAAAAAAACTGGATGAGGACATCCCTAATCTGGTCTTTTAAGTGTTAGCATTAGCATTAGCATCTGTAACCCACAGCTCTGTGTCCTAACCATTAAGTTGTTATCAGAGTAAATCCCTGTTCAGCCTAAATAAGTACCGTATTTTCCTCTTTTCCTGGGCTGTGGCTTTTTGTGCTGAGTCATGCTAACCGTGCCCCCTCCAGGAAACATCCTGCTGAACATCATCGTGCCGCCCGCCATGCCTTGCTCGCGGGTGGGGAAGAACAACGTGATGGTGGTGTGCGTCCCCAACCCTCCTCTGGACGAGAAGAGCCCCAGCAGCCCCGTTTCGCTCCTCATCCGGGTCAAGACCGGCCAGGACGCCGACGAGCTCCACAAGATCCTGGAGGAGAAGAAGGGCTGAGGACCGTCGCCACGGCAACGCCATCGCCACGCCAACGACGCCTCCCCCCGGTCCCCCACTCACACACACACACACAAACACACTCACTCACTCACAGAAACACACACCTGTACCTAAAGGGGTGAATCGATGGTTGTGATGTGAATCGTCCCCTCTGGCTCCGCCCCCTCCGTCTTTGGCTCCGCCCCCATCCGTCTTTGGCTCCGCCCCTTTCTCACCACCGAGCCGCTTTGGGGAGAGCTCCGAACAAAGGGCCGCTCGATTTGGTTTTACAAATTAAAAAGCCGCAGTAACGGTTCACTTTTAATCCTTTTTTTTTGTTTTTTTTATTTTTAAAGCCTCTGTTCGGTGTTTCTGCTGAGTCATTGTTCTGGGAAAACTATTTATTGTGGCGGCAGGCTTTGCTCTCACTACGTGGACCTACTGAGGCAGAGTGAGTCGGCGCTTTTTACCCACAAACAACACAAACTGTCGCTTTTCCAAGTGTCCTTTGTCTGGCCGGCGGGACGAGGCGTGCGTTCGTCGTCTGACAAGCTTTGTAAAGACATTTATTGGGGAATAAAAGGAAACAACCCACCTCCGCTGTTGATTTGTGCTCATTTGTCTTGTTTTTTGAAGGGAAATTTGACCCTTTCTGGTAACGAAAGATCTCCGACATGTACTCGACTTTGAATTCTGTGTGTGTTTGTACTTTCTGTCTCTAAGGGGGAATGAAAAACTGACGTTAGCTGCTTTTTTTTGTCTTGTGTTGTCTCCAAATACCGACTTTTTTTGTTTGTTTTGTCGGCTAACGTCTACTGAAATTATCATATTTACCTTCGAAGTTCCTCTGGCTGTTGGACCAATGGTATCTGAGTTTACCTTTATCTGTTTGTTACTGCTAGCTGGGGTTAGCAGCTACAAGCTAGCTGTCAATTCAGAGTCTCTATCTAGGAAAGAAGAGACAAAACCTCCTTTTACAAATGTGTTCCATAGCATAAATCTGTGGCTACATGCTCAAAATATCAACTACTACTTTTATTAAATTAAAACCACTGGTGGGGGGATTCTCCTTAAAGCATCAGTGGAAACTTCTGATTCAGATTTGCTTAATTTGTGCACAGAAACCTGACTAATTACACACAAAAAAGCTTTCCAGGACACAGAAATGAGTTTTTTGGCTAGCTGGGGTTAGCAGCTATTGGCTAGCTGTCAATTCAGTCTCTTCTGTCCAATAATGGACGAAAAGGACAGGAAATTAGACAAAACTTGCTGTTATAAATCTTGTTCTTAGCATAAATCTCTGTGGCAAAATGTCAACACGTCTTTTACCAAATTAAAACCACTAATGGGGGGATTTTCCTTAAAGCATCAGTGGAAACTTCTGATTCAGATTTGCTTATTTTGTGACTGATTCCACAAAAAAAAGCTTTCCAGGACACAGAAATGAATGTTTTTTGGCTAGCTGGGGTTAGCAGCTACTAGCTAGCTGTCACTTCAGATAAACTTCAGATTCAGATTTGCTTAATTTCTGACTGATTCCACAAAAAAAAACTTCCCAGGACACAGAAATGAATGTTTTTTGGCTCCCAAAACTGTTGTAAAGAGGTGAGTGTGTAATGGAGGCTGTGATCTGTCCTGCAGGTGGCGCCAGAGGGCCGGTGGAAGCAGGCAAAAGGGCAGCGTCAGGTTTTCTGCTAATGTTTATTTCTGTAAATAAATGGAGGAGAGTGTACAGGGAGTTTGGGAGGTGAGCAACAGAAGGAGTCAGGGCTGCTAACATGCACAGTGTACAAAAGCTGTGATGTACCAACACGTCAACAAGGTAACAAACGGCTTCCAAAAAGGCTCTAAAAGTGTTTTACAGTGCAAACTGTCGTCTGTTAAAGCGATCTGACGTCTTCTGATCAGCGTGGATACATTCAGCTGGAGGATCTACGGCGTCCATAACACTGAGGAGCCGGAGGGGGAAAGTCCGGCTTCACGGAAACGCTGAGTCAGCGTTTGTAATCGGCCTGAAAACACCAACACCAATAAACCAGCCGCCATCAGGAATGCTCCCCAGCAGAAAACGCTGACTAGATTCAGAGGAAA